GACATTAAGCTTTCTTCTGCTTTTAATTGGGTGTTTAGTTTTTAACTTCATACCATTTAAATTTTGAGGTGACTTGAAGCCGTCAAAGATTTCCACTGATTTTTAGGTGGTGCAGACAGCAGTGGCAAAATTGGCTTTTTTCTCCATTGCCAGGGCAAAAGGAGATAGGAGTGCTATTCCAAAGCCTTAGGGCTTTTCCTGTTTGATTACCAGTGCATTTTAATAAGCACTTCAGTGGGTCTGATTTTGAAAAGAGCAGGAGCTTGCTTTTCTGCCAAAGTTTGTCAAATTTAACTTGCAGGTTGACATATTGCAACTTGAGTATTAGCATGTAGAAATGACTAGTTGGGTGCTTCGCAGGTCATTTGCTTGTGCAGGCGTGCTGATTAAGAGACCATGGGACTGAAGGGCGTTTTCCAGAAACCAAAGGGCAAATCCTGTAATAAACTGAACTTCCACAACTCTGTTAGCAATGGAAGTGGAGTATTTATTCAGTGCGTGTGCTGCACATACTCTTCTGTTTTAATCTTGCATTAACTGCATAGTGGTGATACTGCTTCTTTTAATTTCATCCTTCCATTTTCCATTTTAATGTGTTTGGCTTTTATGCGTTGTTTTAGTTTCCTTTCTAAAGGCAGACTAGCGTGATTTTTTAATTGAATTTCCTTGCTTCATCAGTAGGCTTTGACTCTCTTATTTGGATGCTAAATATTCCAAACAGGACAGGCTGCCCTTGCCATTTGAGCGACCTGCCAGTCATCCTGTAGTCTCCTTGTTGCTTATGTTCTTGCTCCTAATGTCTTTTTTGAATGTTTACTCATTCAGTTAATTCTTCAGTTTTTTTCAAAGGATTTTCTGCTGTGTTGAAGATGCAAATCTTGCACTTTTAACTTAAAAGAAATTTGACACCCGAAGTGTCAAACATGTGTAAGTCCTTACATGTTTTAAACACAAAAGCAATAATTTATACTATTATATTACCCTTCCCCAAGCGCAAAGCTATTGTCAGTCTCTGTAGCAGTAGAGGTCCTGAGCCATGGTTGGCCCCCTGCATCATCTTTACAGCAAAAACTGACTCAGAGCTGATTGCTGGTTTTCTCATGAAGGAGGAGTTGTAGGGTATCTTGCACCTCTCCCAGACTCTTTTGGATGTGTAAGCAGTGACTCGTAACCAAGCCATATCCTCACGTCAACAACATTATGGCAAGATAGATCAGGATAATCTAAACCTAAATTTAGACCAGGATTTAAAGCTCCCTTCGCAAATAATATCTCTTTATGAATTTTATGAATTTCATTAATATTCCATCTTTTTTCTTTGCATGCAAGATAATTTTATTTTCCAAATTCTACTGCATTTACTTCTAAACTTCAAAATACAATGCCTTTTTTGTTTCATAAACTTCAGTTTCACAGTGCTTCTCAGTCAAGGAGCAACTTAAAAGCTGTAGTATTTGCTATAAGCGCTTCTGATGGATATTTGGAGTTTTGTGCGTTGTTAATGAATGACCCTGATTTATATTCTTGCTGGAGTATTTGCAACAGGATATCCTGCATAGCAAGTGACATATGGCAATTTTAACAGACCAAAGATTGAGCAGCTATATAGATTTTTTTTTTCTAGAGTTGCCTTTTCCAAGACCACTGTCTGTGATAGACCTCTTATTTTGATCTTACCACACTAAACTTGCTTTAAAATAAAAGGACAAGCATGAGAATATACTAGTCCATTCATAAATACTCTGTTCTCAAGAAGCAATGCAATCCCTCTTTTAGATTTGCTAACTAGCTCCACCTTCTGGGGACTGGACATCCTGCCTAATTGTGAATAAGAATTCTCAGTATATAAGGAAGGGGCAATGATTGTTATGGAAAACTTAATCACATGAGGGTATAGTTTTATCTTTCCTTTTGGCAACTACAATTCTACTTATAGTCTATAATAAAATAAGTTATCTTTCCTTAGTCATTAGGGTAACGATTCCTATGAATTTATAATTTTGATTGTTCTCTACAAAGCAAAATACATATGTAAGCAAAGCACTGTAATCTTTGGGACATCAAATACTCAGTACGATTTATTTTTAATATATTTAGCATGAATCTCCTTTAATGGAAAAATGGCCTTGAGTGTCTCAAATCTTTGAATTCCTTCTTAATGCAACTATTACTGATAAAAATTACTTATGCTAGTAAGTTGGTATTCCAAACAAGAGATCTCCCCCCAAAAATCCTTGTGAAAAAATGATCTTGAAATTACTATAAGGTGTGTGCAAAATAACTTGGAAAATCATAATAGAAGGTAGTTATCCGTTGCTTACTGCCAACCTGGAAGGCTGCATGAAGTAGAATCCACTTATATTTGTTCTGGGTGCAGTATTATTCAATATTTTCATTACTGTCTTGGCTTATGAAATATGGATGATGCTTATAAAATTTGCAGATGCTTAAAGCTGGGAGAGGCTTTAAGCACCATGGGAGCAGGATTAGAATGGATCTTGATGAAATGGAGCACTGAAATATTAGGATGCAGCTCAGTAAGGACAAGTACAAAGTTATGTTCCTAAAGAAGCAGAAATACACAGTGCGGATTGACTGGTTAAGTGGCAGCTCAGCAGAAACAGATCTAAGTGTTATGTGAGTTGTGGCCAGTGTGTGACACCCTCTTTTATGGAAAAAGTATGTCAGTAAAGCTCTTCAGCCCTATCCGCATAACCTGAAATCGTAATAGTATGTTCACAAAGTGTGGCTAGTTCTAGAAATTCAGCTTTTTCTCTCTTGCCCTGGCTGTCAGTGTACTTGCAAGATCCTTGGCTGTGTCCATACCCAGCTCTGCTTTCCCATGAAGTGGGGCAGATGTTTATTAGCTGTACCCTCAGGTCTACTTTACAGTGGCCAGGTATGACCTTTTTCATTATTTGCTCAAGTCAGAAGCAGCCAGCAAACTCTATTCTAATCACACACAGCCCCATTCACTGGTTTAGTATGCATTACATCTTTTAATCTCATTCTGCTGCAGTTGCTTTCCTTGGCATTTATTTATTGATTAATTCAATAAATTACTGTAATTTAAGACTAGAGAGAAGAGTTTAGGTTGTCTGGTCTGTCTACTCTGACTTGCAGTATGTCACACCTTGTTGTCTACCTTATTTCTAAATTTCACTGGCTCACAGCAGCTTCTGGCCTTTGGTGGTTCTTTTGCTTTAATTCCCTAGAACAAACATCCCCATTAGTACTTGCTATTTTCTCCTCATGAAGAGGGGAAATCAAGTTGTTGCTCAGCCTTTTTCAAAGGCTTAAGGAGATTAAACTCTAAATCTTGGTAGCTGTCCTCTGCAAGCTCTCCACTTCTTTCAGGAATCCCTTTAAAATGTGTACACCAGACCTTGGCATGCAGTGTATCAGTACTCTCTTAGTCAATGGCATGTACAAAATCACTCCTTTTTGCTGGAGCATGAAACTGGGAATGGCTTATGTTCTGTTTTGTTCACGATGGCTCTGTCTCCATAATTGCTGTTTTCCAGGGAACAGTTCTTCAGCCTGTATTACTCACACTTAAATATGCATGACTGTGTTAAAACACACATTGCCTGACCACGAAGACTTTATTTGCAAAGGAACCCGAGCTGTTCTCTGCAACTGCTCTATCTTTGCTCCTACTTCCTCCTTCCTGTGCCTTATTTTTTTACAGTTTCTCCTGGCTTTCAAAGTTCTCTCCAGTCTTCTTGGCTACAGTTTTATTCATTTACATATTTTTCTGGAACATAGCCAAACTGACTTTGCAAGAGGCACCTATGTCTTCCTGCCTAAGGAACTTCTTCAGTACTAAGGAGTCTCACTGGCCTGGATCGGAATCTTACCTGAAACAGTGTGATGTTATCTTCCACCTAATTGCAATTAAAATGAAATAGATTTTAATTATCATTGATTCTTAATTACACTAATCTACAGAAAATATGAGTCAGCGATGGACTGTATTGAGTCAGTTACACTCCCTATTTTTGGAAAGATTCTTTTGGAGCGTTGATTTCTCTTTCATTTTGAACTATAACAATGAAACTGAGATGTAGATTCTAAAGGAGGGTGGTTGGTTATTTTTTCCTATCAACTTAGAGCAGTAGGCAAAACCATATGCAACTACAATGCAGGTCTGATTTTATTAAATCCTGAAAAAATCAGGAACAACTTAGGTAATCGGGCAAGTTTGAGTAAGCTGTTCTGATTTTTCCTCCATTCCTAGTTATCACTTTCATTTGTAATGTATTAAGGAGTCACGTTTTTCAAGCCTTTCACTAGCTTGTTTTTTCTGATATTCCTAGCATATATTCTAACAGAGCAAAACAGATCACAAAATAGTTCTAAATCTCTCTGCTTGAAGTAGCTAAAAAAATAATGAGTTCAATATCTCTAAATATTTAAAGAGAACAATATAGGAAGAAGCTAAAAAGAAAAAGGAATGTGACCTGAAGGTTAGTATTTTTCCAGGCTATACTTTAAACAGATAATACCCTTCCAGATATCTGTTCTTCTGTTTTGCCCTCCAGCACCCACTTTTTCTTAAATATAGGCTCTTCCCCCCCTTTTTTTGATGGTACTTCGTTTGTTTAGATAGCAAGTTGTCAGTGCTGGAAAGAACAGATCTTCATCTCCGCTGTATTCATCTTGTGCTAAATGAATTTTCATATGTATCCCTGTATGCTCCGTTTATGACACTTCAATGCAAGTTTTACAGAGAAGGTAGGTCTGTTAAAAAGTCATTGTTTCAGGATACAGTTGGATTCGGGCCAAGGATTTAGTCCCAGTCTTGGTGGTAAACTGGAGTCCTACCTCTAAGCGTATTCTCCATTGGAGTTTGCTGTACCACCATGGTTAGGATAGAGCTGCAGGATCGTTTCAAAGTGTAGGATGATCTATGCAGCCTCTGCAACCTTCTTTCCGTTCTGAAAAGGATTTTCACTGCAAGTTTTCTGTTTTGGAACAGATGGTCTGTCTTGTTCTAGGTGACTGGTATGAACAGCTTTATCCCCTGGTGATTACGCTGAAGGACTGCATGGGAGAGGTGGTGACCAGGGCGAAGCAATCGATGGCGTTTGTTCTGCTCCAGGAACTTGCCTGTGGTTTGCCACAATGTTTGATGCTGACCCTAAGAAGAGACATCGTCTTTAGTCAAGCAGTAGGTTGTCTTGTGTTACCTATCTCCCACTGTTGCTATAATTAAGCATACCATTCATGCCAGTGTTTGTGTTTTAATATTTTGCTGGGGTTTTTTTCTCCTTCAAATTTAACACAACTTTTTCACGTGTTTTCCATTACTTCCACTTAAATATTTTCATTATGTGATAGAGAAATTAATAGTAAATGGAAATCCATAGTAACTGTATCGCTGAGTCAGAGAATAAGGTCTGCAATGGACTGGAAAAGGTTACCTAATCTCCCTTTTGCACAAAGAAGGATCCATAAAGCTATTTTTAGTCGTCTTAGATTATATGCCAAGTATCCTTACCTGTAGGTGAAGTTCTCAAGTCTAGCATTGAATATTCCTTGCTGCTCTTCAAGCTAGATATTTTTTTCTCCTGGTCACCTTGGAAATGAAGAACAGATTATTTGTTTTCAGTTTGTAGCAGTATTTTATGTGTTTGAAGACTATTAGCATGTGTCTTCTCAGACTTGTCTTCTCTTGGTAAATAACTGAAGTTCTTTTGATCTTCCCCTGTAGATCATGTTTTTCCAGATAGATTTTTCTCTTTAAATTACATGTTTTTCCTAATATAATTAAGGAGTTAGGGTGCAACTGCCAAGGAGATTCAGTTACATTAGGTGTCTAACTGCTTTCAAATCCATCATAATTCACAGCCTTATGTGTTTATAGCCTGCCAAGGGAGGTTGTGGTCTCACTTATGTCAATGTAAATAACACACAACCCCACAAAACAAATGAAGCTTATCTAATGTAAAATAAGGGAGTATTTCACTGCTAAAAAATGCCTGCATAATATATTAATATGAAATTATGTATGTAGTCACTAAACAGAAATATCTATGCTGTTCTCTCAAATATCTAAATACTACTTCTGCTGTGTATAATGATAGCAAGCCTCATTTTAACTGTAACAGTACATTTTTTAATTTCACATTTTTTTTCATTGCCTTTATAGCTCGCTGGATTGGTCTGTGGGTTTATAATTAAGTTGCACACAGGTTTACATGATCAAGGATTTTTACAACAGCTTCATACTGTTGGATTGCTTGTGCAATATGAAGGACTCCTTAGTACATATAGTAAGTATTGCTCTTGGGACAAAGTTCTTTATGCATCCAGACCAGAATTTTACCCACGGGCTTCTTATTTTAACCTCTATTCTGCATCCAGTAATTTGGCTTATTGAATCAACAAATATTGTCCTTAGGAAACAGTAGGCCTCCCTATAATAGCTCAGTTGCAGTCATTGATACTGTGTTGTCGGTTCGGCATCAAAAATTACTAATTTCTTTTATTCTCAGTTCCTCTGAGAACAGTAGTTGCTAATTATTCCATGCAGAGTGCTGAACTGCATTGTCTTAAATACAGCAGACTCCCTTGTCAGTACAACTAGTGGAATTTTTAGTTTTAATAAGAACTGTCTCCATTTGTATAGACATTTGGCCTGACCCAAAATAGCAGGTTTATAAAGCTAAGCCAAACAGCAGATCCTAAAGAGTTAGTGACTCTGTCAGCCTCTGCTCTGACCATGCCAGCGTTTGTGGTGTGAAGATAGCTTGAAAAGTGTTTGATTCCTAGCCTGTTACAGATGCCATCATTTGATAGGTATTAAAAAGGACATTTGGAAGGAGAAACTGCCGTATGTTTCAACATGCTTTGAACTAGTTTTATTGGAATCCTTCCCTAAATTAGAGATTTTGACCAAAGTAGAGGGATTTAGCATTTCTGCAGCTCTTTAATGCACAGGCAATTGCAGATCCTCACTTGGAGACTGCTGTCAAGCTCCCTTTTGCATGATACTCATTGTTGTTATTCTCAAAACCTTTGTCCTCCATCAGCAGGACAGTCTTTAAAAACACTTTCAGAATAGACAAAAATGGCTTTTCTGAGGTTATTCTATGCACATACAGAGCAGGCTGATTTTCAAAGGTGCTTAATGCTCCTAGTTATCATTTAGGCCACAGAGAATTGTCAGCAGTTCTAAAAAATCAGTCTGCTTTTATTTAGGTTACTTTAATGTGGATTTAGAGCTGTGATTTTTAGGTGCACAGACTGGAAAATATAATCCCCATATTGCTTTACTATAACCTATTCAGTGACTGATCTGTCTACTCTGTTAATAAGACATGGCTGTGGGAATTTCAGATTTGCAGAAAGTGATGTTTAAAGTCATTGAAGCCAAATCAGAAGATTTTTTGCCTGTTATAACTGGCAGGCGGTAAGAACTTTGTTTCCTGGAGCCCATGGCATGTAGTTTTAATCTGTAGCGGATGAAAACCCTGAAATATGAAGCAGATGAAAACCCTGGAAAATGGTTTTCTTGTTGCTGAGTTCCATTACATGGAAAGTGCAGCAGTTTTACTTTTCATGAGATGAATGGAGATGTAATGAGGTAGTAGGGATTTGTAAAGCTAGTAGTAATACGGGCTCTGGGTTACTTTCCTGATGAAAAGCTAAAAGTTCCAATTGTATTAACACAAATTACTCAAAACAGTGTCTGGGTTGTGCAGAGTTTCTGTTGCATTTTTCATATATAGATAATTAATAGAAAAATAGTGTCAAGGTCAGTATTACAAAAGTGGCCTCTAACGGAATAAACCTTGGTTTTGAGGTGTCCTTGTCCTTGAGGAGAACTTGTGTATCAGTGTGACAAATGAAATTGCATTTCTAAGAGTTAGGCCTTGATTGTCTTAAGATGGAAACTGAAGAACTTGGATGCCAAAACTTAGTGGTCACTTTTGAAAAATGAAGCCTGTCTTACCTGCTGAAGAGCACACAGGTCATAGGCAACTTCAGAAATCCTTGCATAAACCCACTGATACATTACGCATCTCACATAAGCACTGCTGAATATCAGGACATAAACTGAAATACTTCATTAATTGAGGCTCTAAGAGGGTTAACAAGATTTTTACACAGGAGGAATGGGTTTTTCGTCTTCATTATTATTCTAGTCTGAAGCTCCAAATGTTTTTACTTTTGCAGAAATCACTTCCTTAATAGTATCATTATTCTTAAGATGACTGTAAATTAAATTCAGCTAAAAGCAGCAACTTTTAGAAAAGATATGTTTCCTCTGAAGGGGGCTTTCACCACTGATTTACTTAATTATTCTGGATGATTCACTCTCATCCTATGGGTCTTCTGAGAAAGGATTGAAATAAATAGCAGGAAGGCCGGAGTATGATAGGCAACACATAGGGAGTAATTAAGAATAATTATGGTGTGTAGATAAAACAGAAAAAATACATCCTTTGTAAATCACAGCAGTCAAAAATCTTGAAAAATCCAGCAGCTACATTTACTGGCTCACTGCCATTACTGCAGCACACTGAACTGTCACACTAGGAGGTCCTGGGTTTGAAAGAGACTCGAGCTTTAAGCTGCCTCAGGCATTCTGGATTGATGGAGTAGTCAGTCTTTAGGAAGAAGAGGTACTGCCTGTGATTGCTGTACTGTACTTACTGGCAGGTATTCATGGGATGGAATCGGTATCAGACAAAAAAAAAATAAATCTTTTAAGGCTTATGTGGAGGAGACCTATTCCTATTAGAGCTGTGATGAGACAGCTCCTATCAGACAGCATTGGAAGTGAACCATAAGAAGAGAAGACAGTGGAAAACCTAGTTATTTTCTAATTAATGTTTAAAAACCCCACATTTTTTAGATCGGTTTGGTTGTTACATGGTGTGGCTCAATAAAATGAGACTAAAAAACTGTAGGAAGGCAAGACAGAAAATTAAGCTACAAATATTTATCTTGCAAAGTTGGAGTAGTCACTTGTCATTGTTTTCCTAGGGAAGTGGTTAAGACTGAGATTCTGTGTACACAAACAAATCAATCCATAGAGCGCGGCATCGACTAGCAGTGAGCTAACCCGCTGGTGTGGGTGGCTGACCCCGACTATCCAGGTGCAGTGAAGTTCTGTTCAGGCACTCAGGGCCTGTTATTATAGGAAAAACAACTTTTATAAGATTCTTTGATAAAATGTAGTTGATTGTGCACATGAACTTCAAGGCATCACAGGCTTTGATTCCATGTTTTCAGTGAAGCCCATGATCAGACTAGCACTTACAGCCACATTGAAGTGATCTAAAAAGTTGTCACTTAGCTGAAAGAAGAGCTGGGTAAAGCACCTCCCAGCTGAAATGCAGTGACTGACCACGTGAGCATTTTTTTTTCTGTTACAAAGCAAAGCAAAGGTGCATGTAAATGACTTGGTTTGTGTTTATTACAATGAACTAAGGGTGTGTGATTTCAGCCAACTGCAAGTAGCTGCAGGGCCCGCAGCTGCATGGGGGTAATTTTTAGAAGCCTTCTAACAGGACTGCAAGTGTTTGTCTATCTTCATATCTGATGATAATAAATATTAGAGAATAAGGCAAATAAAATCAAAAAGGGATATTCTTAAGCAGTCCTATTTTAGTGAAATCATATACATTTAAATATTTAATACCTAAACGTATACAATTCATTCTGAAAGAGGTGGTGATTTATTATTTACTCTCTTAAACATGCTAGATTTCTCCACCCTGTTTTCCTGAGGGGTCACTAGAAGTTAAAAACTATGTACTGATTTTCCCTTCTCATTGGAAAATGTAGTAACCGCCTTACCCATCTCATGCCAAAATCACCTGATATCTCTGCACTGTCTAACCATAAAAAAGAGAAATTATGTGGTGATAAAATGTACTGCTGTATTAATGTTTCTTGTTTTAGTACAAGCATAGGACCTGTATGATTTTTTTGTAAATTAATGTCAAACAAGTCCTCCAGATTTCAGTAATTTCAATTTGGTCTGTCACCTCAGAGGAAGTAGTGGATAGTAATCCAAGTGATAGAAAAGATCCAAAGGTTATTGATGGTTTAGTAACAGCTGTGATTGGTCACTTAGGAATTAAGACTTCTCCTCTCGGAAGACTGGCGGGATCATTAGTCCAATGAAATTGCATCTATACCAATGCTCGCAGCATGGGCAACAACCAGGAGGAATTAGAAGCCATTGTGCAGCAGGAAAGCTATGGTATAGTTGCCATCACAGAAATGTGGTGGGACAACTCACATAACTGGAGTGCTGCTATGGGTGGCAGCCATCTCAGGAGGACTACAGGATATTGTGAAGTCCTGCAGAGAAAAAATTAGAAGGGCTAAAGTCCAGGTAGAACTTAAATTGGCCAATTCTGTGAAACATAATAAAAAATGTTTCTATAAATACATTAACAACAAAAGAAGAGCCAAGGAGAATCTCCATCCTTTCCGTAGTGACAAAGGATGAGGATAAGGCTGAGGTATTCAATGCCTTCTTTGCCTCAGTCTTTAAGAGTAAGGTCAGCTGTTCCCTGGGTACCCAGCTTCCTGAGCCAGAAGACAGGGACAGGGAGCAGAACAAAGCTCCCATGATCCAAGAGGAAATGGCTAGTTACCTGCTCGGCCAATTAGACATACACAA